CCCAAGCATAGGCCAGATAGGTAGGGCAGTAGTTCCTTCCAGTGTGAAAGAAATCAGAGGTGAGACAGCTGGTTGTGGAGAATGAACTCATATATTTAAGCAGCAGGAAGCTTTAAAAAATACAATGTTAGAGAAATATCTTCCCATCCCCTGCTATGGTAATGAGGCTTTTTGTGGTTGTACAGAGAGGTTCTTGTGCACAGCTGAAGTCATATAGTATCAGTTAAACAACCTTGGGAAAGGAAAAAAACCAAAGAGGTGATTAATCTAAATGAATACAAAATACATTTTAATTAAGTTTGCAGCAATAAATGGAATTAACACATTTCTTCACATACTTGGGCTTTTCTGGTTTGATTCTGAGTAACAGAATCGGGCTAAAACATTGTCTATTACAGAAACACAAATCATACTAGAAAAAAACCCCTAGTTTTACATTGTTTGTATATAACCGAGAGTGTTATATTCAACGTGTTATTACATGTAGTAAAGGTAGATATTCAATTTGTGAATATTATTACGGGTTCATAGTTATGGTTCATGGTAAATGTTATATCTCCTTTTTTTTGGAGCTCTGTAAAAGTTCCCTATTCTTTGATTCTGGTCCCAGAACATCAAATCTGATCTTGCATTTTTATTTACTACTGCTAATCCTATTTTTTTTACTCCACTAGTCCTACTGATATAGCAATGCTCATTTACATCAGGAGGTATCTTGCTCACAGTGTCAACCAATGGTACTAAATTCAGAATATACTAAATTAAATATTTTAGTGCAAACCTTATCTTAAAAAATAATGTTCTCCAATTAATGTTTTTTGTGCTGTTTTAAGCTTTTAAATTCCAAATATATTAATTTCCTGTTATCTGACTCTTCATGTTGTGAGGTAGTTTAGCGGTGAAGCTGTCTGGAGTGATGTGACTCCCATCCATGCTGTCATGCTCCTTTGGCTTCCAGCATGGGATGAAGTTGCCCTTTGGAAGCTGTTCCTGTTCTCTGCTAGTTCCTGAAATCCGCTGAGAAATAGTTTGGAAGGGTGTTGTGGGGCATGGGCCAAATAACGCAGCAAACTAATCTAACAATTTTACACCCTTAATGACTGGATTTCAGGCACCTGGGGTATTGAATTTAGTGGTACAAACACAGCCATGACTTTTCAGGGTGTATTCTTCACTTGTCACTGTTGCCAAACAACTTTCAGGTCCAGTAGAAGCTGAAATGACAGTGTTGCTTGGAAGAAGTTGTTTGTGGTGGGTTTTGTCAGTGGTTCTAAAAGGCATTTCGTGGGGATACTTGTGGTCTGCAAGCTTCCAGTTAGTGGCTGCAGCTGGTGTGTGACTGTATTAAACAATGAAATAAGGAGTTTCCCAGCATTTCCACTATTGTTTCCTGTTTCTCTGCAAGTAGCTTTGATAAAATTGGAGTCTGGTGACTGAGGTTTAACCTATCTGTGAGTAGTTTTCAGATAATGTGTTCTGTTTTCTGAATGAAACATGATGAGGAGAAAAATGTATATCTTTATTGGCCATAATTAGACTTTGTTGAGGGGCAAAGTTTTACTGAACTTGTCTACATGAGAAAAAGTATTGCTAAATATGTTAGAACCTCTTGCGTCAACATTTTATTAAGTAACTCTTACTTCTATTTTTCTATATTTACAAATTACATGTCCATCATTCGTAAATTAGCAGAGTTTTTCCATCTTTCAACAATGACCTAAAAACAAAGACTTTTTGTAAAATATCACCATTTTTCCAGACTGTATTACTGTATGTGATTTCCTCATCATGATGTACTTCAATAAAATCATCAGAGAAAAGGGACATTTAGGTGTTGGTTTGTTTGTTTTGTAGCCATTCTGTGTATGTTTTAGGGTATTGCAATGCTTCTGCAGATTTTAGACTGCAATAAGTGAGGTTGGACTCTATGTTTTCAGAGATCATTAGGGGACATCACTTTGATACTAAATTGCAAAAGACAGTGGCAATAGGGGGAAGTGATTTTGCAAGGTGGAATAGCTGTTTTCCACCACTTCAGTGCTCTTTATGGTTTCTTTCAGCTGTTGCTGAATTCACTGGGTATTACATGTAGGAAGAAAACAGAATATGACCTCTTAGACAGATCCCATTTTAACCAAAACCATGTTAACTCTAGGCCTCCCTTTCTAAATGCTGATGTGCTCCAATAATTGCTGACATTGCCAAGGCTCTTTCCAGAACTAGAAAAACCCCACATAAAAGCTTTGTTTTGTTTGTATCATTTGTAGTGTGTGCAGGAAAACATGGTCATGAAAAATTGACCAAAAGCCATTTCATAGAATCATATAATTTAAAGGTTGGAATGGACCCTACATATCATCTAGTCCCAACCCTCCCTGCCATGGGCAGGGACATCTTCTCACTAGATCAGGTTGCTCAAGGCCCCATCCAGTCTGGCCTTGAACACCGCCAGGGTCAGAGTAGCCAGCACTTCCCTGGGCAACCAGTGCTACTGCCTGCAACCAGGTGCAACAAAACCACCTTTACAGAGAAAAAAACTTTTTCTCACATCCAACCTAGACTTCCCCTCCTTCAGTTTGAACCCATTTCCCCCTTGTCCTGTCACTGCAGCTCCTAACATAGAGTACCTCTCCAGCTCTCTTCTAGGCCCTTCAGATATGGAAAAGTTTCTCTGAGGTCTCCACACAGTCTTCTCTTCTCTAGGCTGAACAGCCCCAACTCCCTCAGCCTGTCCTCATAGGGGAGATGCTCCAGTCCTCTTATCAACTTTGTGGCCTCCTCTGGGCTTGCTGCAGCTGTTCCATGTCCTTCTTATGTTGAGGGCATCAGAACTGTGTACAGTATTCCAGGTGGGGTCTCAGGAGAGCAGAGTAGAGGGGAAGAATCACCTCTTTTAACCTGCTGCCCACACTCCTTTGGATGCAGCCCAGGATTTGATTGGCAACACATTATAAACTTTATATTTGTAGCAAGCTTTGATGCATAGAAGCAGACATCAGGGCCATGACTGATGAATAAATCCTCTTTGAAATCACATTTTTGAGGGTATTTATCATTACTGGTAGTAGCCACTAGAGGGGGAGCATCATTTATATCATAAAATATCTCTCAGCCTTTTACTATTTTGATTCTAGCCATCTGTTTCCAGCATTGTAACAATACCTAAGTAAAGTTACAGCATGATGGTGGCTGCAGACAGAGCACGAAATGTGTCACTAATACAAGACTTTTGCCTTTTCAGGTGTTGTGTTTCACTACCGAGCAGCAACCAGCAGGTACACCCTGAATTTTACACAAGCTCATCAGACTTGTCAGGACAATGGTGCTGTCATGGCAAGCCCAGAGCAACTGAAAGCAGCCTATGAAGATGGATTTGAGCAGTGTGATGCTGGCTGGGTATCTGACCAGACTGTTAGGTGAGGTGTTTGAAAGGTCCCTTGATGCAGATTCCCAATGTAACAGCTCAGTGGTGGTCTGAGCATGTCATAGAATCATAGAATCATAGAATTTAAGGGTTGGAATGGACCTTACAGATCATCTAGTCCTAAACCTCTGCCTTGGGCAGGGACACCTCCTCACTAGATCAGGTTGTTCAAGGCCTCATCCAGCCTGGTCTTGAACACCACCAGGGTCCGGGCAGTTACCACATCCCTGAGCAACCTGTTCCAATGTCTCACCACCTTTACAGTAAAAAACCTTTTTCTAATATCTTCCCTAGACATTCTCTCCTTCAATTTGAACTCATTACCCCTTGTCCTTTAACTGCAGTTCCTAACACAGAGTCCCTCTCTGGCTCCATTGCAGACCCTTCAGGTACTGAAAAGTTGCTCTGAGGTCTCCACACAGTCTTTTCTTCTCTAGGCTGAACAGCCCCAGCTCCCTCAGCCTGTTTTCATAGAGAGGTACTCTGGACTTGCTTCAACAGTACTGTGTCCTCCTTATGTTAAGGACACCAGAACTGCTTAGCGTGCCCAGATTTAAACTGCTGACTTGACAGAATAATAATTTTGACTGTGTTGCCTTTCAGGTATCCAATTAGACATCCAAGGGTTGGGTGCTTTGGAGATAAAATGGGAAAGAAAGGAGTCAGAACATACGGGCGCCGCTTTCCTAATGAGACGTACGATGTGTATTGTTATGTGGAACGCATGGAAGGTAAGATATGTCCATACTTACTCTGCACTGCAGAACTAAAAAATGATGGGAGATTCTAATGTGGAAGAGCAAAGAAATAGGGAATTCTGTGTAAAAGAAGTTTTGGCGGTTTTGAATCTGGAGGGGAATGCTGAATTGAAGTGAACCTACACTTTGTGGTCTAGCAGGTATTAATTAAAGACGAATGTGGTGTCTACAATGAGACAGTCAGGTTTAAAGTTGCTAAAGTTAGTGCAGTTGATCTCACAAAATTTGCCGTTGAAGCATCTTGTTATTTTGAATGTTATAAAAGTATTTTCAAAGAAACTAATTTAATGTTTGAGAAACTATATATACTATATATATAAAGATGGATATGGTACATGTGCTAACTATATTATAGTTCATAAAATATGTAATTTGGGGGGGGGGGTGTGTTGTGTCCATGGCATAAAATCAGACAGATATTGGATTGCCATCTAAGTTTAATACTATAAAGAGGAGGCATCTCAGCACCAAAAAGTAAGAAACAGGAGAAAACTTTCTAGTACAGGATCTGGATCTTTAGTAAAATTCTTTGCCATTTCATAGTGCAACTGCAGTCTTTGGAAAATCAGCTATTTAAGTGGCTCTTGAGAATGGTCATGATTCTGCCACATGGTGGCTATGAGCCATGGATCATGTCGTGAACCCCATGGTGCATCATGATCCATCATTAGGCTCTATGAGTGGTCTTGATTCAAAAAAGAGTTTGAGAGTAAAGAGAAAAATACTGTACATTTTTCTGTGATAAGGCAGTTTAGCATGTGGACAAATCTCCCTATTACAGGTGTGATGTTGTAATAGCTTCTTGTAATCTCCCTTCTGGAAGTGAATTTAACTGTGTCCTTCCAGCGAGCCTATAGATACATTCCAGACACCAAATGTCCTTATGCTTAGACATTACTGTGACTATTTAAATACATAGACTTAAAATATAAATGCAGAAATAACCTTTCCTGTCCTGTAGTCTGTATGTTTTGGCTTTGTGCTGGTTATGCACATGGGGACTTCATTCTGTTACAGAAATACTTTGCAACAGGGACCAAAGTATATTTTCCATTTAGTACGGTGAGCTGAGCCTGATTGATTCTGTGATACTATGATTTATATGTATATAAGTAATATATATAAATTTGTAACAAACAATTGCAGAATTATGATGCTCAGTGATTGTTTGCATTCTGCCTTAGAGAAGAAATAGATAAAGCAAAGTTTTTCCTGCCGATTATAGAGGCTTTGATCACTGAAATCAGTGCATTACTTTCAGGCACTGAAGATCTGTCCCAGATTTGTTCTCCTTGGAGAGTTATACAACACAAGCTATACAGGTCTTGCAAAGCCTCAAAAAGATAAAAGCTTGAGAACCGTGAAAATTACGTGACAGAATTTTGTCAGTGCTCTACATTTTCCTAACTTTAGTTATTCCCCATCTCTATCTGCCAGCAGCAACTCTAAGCACCTACAGTTCCTAACACTTGCTACTCCATCAGCCCCAAATCTCCTCTGAATCAAGGCTTTTAAATTCAACTTGGATCTTTCCTAGCTTTTAAAAAGAAGTTTTGACTAATCTGTACTTTTCCTGGATGAAGAACAATCCCTTGTTCCTTTCCCTCTTTAAGAACAGAGAAGAGTAACTAATACCGAGAAACTTATCCTGGATGCATGTGAGCCAGCAATTTCTCAGGGTCAAATATTCTCACTAAGCTTTCAAAAACAAAAATTAAAGTAAGTCAAAACTAAAGCTTTTTTTTTCCACTGTGGTTTATGCTCTCTGCTTGGCGCAACCTGGAAACAGACTGTGAGGTTCAAAGAGGTTGCTGTGACTGTCTCCATCAGCAACGGTGCACATGCATAGATTTTCAGTTTCTCATGGACATTAATTGGTTCTTTGTTGTTATAGATTTATTTTACCAAGATTTATAAACTGGATTTTGTCTCTGGAAACAAATACATTTCAGTTCTATTGTTGTGGGTGATGGTCTGTTTGAATATATGCATGTCATTGTGGCATATCAGCTGGACTGTGGTAAAATTATCTGCTTGGATATGAAACCTTCAGCCTATAAGAAATATAATATAAAACAGAATATTGTGGAGATTTGGTCTATCAGCCCAGGTAACAATTAGCACCTTCATTATATTGACAAATTTTAATGCCAGATTATGTTAATAGCCAGACAAAGATATTTTCCCCTTTACCCCCACCTTTTTTCCCTGTGGTTTGTTTTTTAAGTTTCCAAATCATCTGGAGTCTGAAAAGAACTTCAATGACTTCCAGAAGGAGTGATGGTTTTGTGGACATAGGTATAGACATGGTATAGGCATGTTATACCAACATGCAGGGGAGTTTGGATGAAGAGAAACAAGTGTGTGTTAGGAACACATGGTGCCACGTCATGGTGTAGTGTAAGACAAATTATTCCTCTGTGCCTTCACGAAACTCTGAGCCAGACTTACTTTTTAAGATGGGGCCAAGGTGGCTTTGTCTATTTAATAAACACAAATTCTGTAACAACCAAGGTTTACTTCAAATGAGCTTTTTAGAAGCAATGTAGCATCATGCAGATTATACTTCAGAACTGCTCATCCACAGAAGACAGAAATTTAGACAAAATCTCAATGAGGTAATTAGAAGGTGAAGGTTGCATTAAACTAGATTTCTGTGTTGTCAAAAAGCTTACAGTTGAAGATCTAAGCCTTGAGCAACCTGGTCAAGTGAGGAGGTGTCCATGCCCAGGGCAAGAGTTTGGGACTAGATGATCTATAAGGTCCATTCCAACTCCTAAATTCTCTGATTCTACTTTTATGGCAAATTTGTGATTGCCCTGTTCACCAAAAGCTGATTCTGCAAGGTATGACCTTTCTCTTGTGTTAAGGACTCCCAACGCTTAATTAATAACAAGGGGTGTCCATAGTACTTAGGATACTGTAGAACTGTGCTTAAACATGACATTTTCCATGCTAGTGTGAAAGCTCATATATGCATAGCCTATTCTGATTCAATGCCAAATCTGTTAGACTTACTTGCACTAAAGTGGTCCTTATTTGGAGAGTCTGTGTCAGTGGAATGGCTGTTCATGGAATAAGATGGTGCTTGATTAATGGCATTAACACCTAGGCCATAGTAAGCATGTCATCATGGAAGTCATTGAACAGTTACTGGTCTGTTGGCTGCTCTTAGTGCATTACCCCAGAAGGCCATAAATGGTGGTCAGAGTTCTTGCAATACATTTTGAAATGAATGTGCATTGAATTTACAGTGCTAATTTGGGTATTTGCACTGGGGATTTGTAGGAGCATCACTATTTCTATTTTGTTCCTTTCTGGCCATGTGAAATCATGAAGTTAAGTCATTTAAAAAAGTTCTGGGCATGGTCTTTTATTACAAACTGATTTACATGCCTCATATTTCATCACATATTTCAGTGTACCAAGCATTAACAGAAACATCTAGGATACTTTTAGCTGCAGGAGATGATTTACTATCAAAGAGTTTAATCTAAAGTGATTGAGCTGCAAAGGTTCAGGTGTAACTCTGAGGTTCTCTTAACACCTCCAGATGAAGCAGTGTGGGCACCAGCGTCTTCTGTGGAGTAATACCTTCAGTGGAGATGGGTGATGGGGAAGGAAGGTTTTCCATTCTGCCTTCGGATAAGCATGTGTGTGATTGATTTGACAGTGTTGTGGTGTCAGAGATGGAGGCAAAACACAATCTACTTGCCAAAGCCCACTGATGAAGCAAGAGCCTGTGGGCATGTGGTGCAGAGCCAAAGCACAAACTACTCCATGCAGGATTGTCTTCTCGCCAAAGCCAGTTAGAAGCCATATACGTCTAGCAAGCCTATGTCATACGCAGATGGGAGACTAAGCAAGTTATTTTTGGAGTGTCTGTGGGGGAGATTATACAGTTTCCCTTCCTTGCACCATTTTCCCCCCACAGTGAGTGCAGGGAAGAAAAAAACCAAAACCAGATGTCCTTTGAATACTTTCCACCTACTGTCATGTGGTTTTGCTTTTGTCATGGAAATTTCTGTGAGAATGATAATGATAATTGAAGAAGACACAGTCTAAAATATGGCTTCAGGTGAGAAGTTGCTTCTGTGTTTTGGGCAGCTAAAGACCTCCAGAGTCCTTTCTGATTCCGGAGCAAGAAGTAGATTAGATTTTAAAATGGGGACACAGACAAGAGAGTCTTTTCTTTCTAGTTCACAGCCTTTGCATTGGCTTGCACTAGACACTTTTCCAGCCTTGGATTTTGTGACCTCAAGTAGGGTCATGGATCCAAGAATTCTCAAGAGGATTCCTGTCCGGCCTATGGGTTTGCTCAGAATAGACTTAAGACATCCAGGAGAGTTTAATTAAATCATTCCTGATGTGTGTCAAAAGGAGTCAACTGACTTGTTCTGACTTGTAGGAGAAAAAGACTTCTTCAACTTGTCCAGCTTTCTGCTTTAAAGTTGAAGAAAGCTGCTTAGATGTTTGTGGTTTTCAAGTGCTAGAGAGTGTTTCTTGGTAATTAATGGTTGTTAAGGGTACCTCTTTATTTCCCTGGTGTGTTAGAGAATCAGCCCTTAACAGCACAAAAAACGAGGAGGAGGAAACAAAAGTTTTTGGGACACATGTTCCTGAAGGTACAAGGGTAAATGCTTTAGTCCCCAAAGTGGCCATGGTATTCCTGCGTCTTTTCACACTTGATTATGCCCTAGGAATTAAGCTTTGAACTGATTCCTCATTTATGAGGAAAAGAAAGTCATGATGGCAGTATCTCATGACTGCTTGAGCTTTGACCTGTCAACAATGTGGCTGTGACCAAAGTTTTATGAGGAGCAGCAAAAACAAGTTACAGCTGCAGGTGAGAAAACATCCTTAAAATGCTCTATATAACATCAGAAAAGATGATATGTTGTCACTTTTAGCCATCTTTCATACCTGCCCCAGGGCATCCTCATCTGCAGCTGTAGTCACAGAACCCTGGAGTT